CAAGTGACAGGCGGGAGGGAGTGTCATAGATAGAAGAACAGGCATAGCATAGCCCAGGGAGAAACGTAGGGAAACAAAGCAAAGGGTAGCATGGTGGTTAACTGTGTGCATCCTCCGTGTGTGTTTTGAATGATATTAAATTCAGGTCAGTGATTTCTGCCTTATCATGTGAGTGGGGCTCACGCAGTGGAAGGCCTGAGTCATTGCTTCTACCACCAGCTTTCCCGGGTCTTGAACCTCCAAGTCCACTCTAACGGTTAAGATGGGGACTGGAGACGTGACTCAGAGGCAGAACACTTGCCCGACACCCCCCAACACCACAGAAAACATAACATAAAGCTCAGAGGCTACGGTGATGGCTCAGTGGGTGAAGACCTAGCTCTGTGCCAGGGCTACATGTGAGACCCTGTCTCAAAAAAAAAAAAAAAAAGAAAAGAAAAGAAAAAAAAAGAGTTGTTGAGGGTGGGGATGGGGAGAATGGAAATCTCCGTACGTTTGATGCTGGTGGGAATACAAAATGCACAGCCGCTTTTGAGAAACATTCTGATAGTCGCTCAAAAAGTTCAACACAGAGTTGCTATCTGACCTCAAAATTTCACTATGTAAAAATTCAAACATTGCAGCCGGGTGGTGGTGGCACACACCTTTAATCCCAGCACTCGGGGAGGCAGAGGCAGGAGGATGCCCTGTGACTGCTGAGACTTGAACAAGTATCTGTTCACTCCAGACACTGGTGTCAGACTCGTTGGTGAGCAACTGAGTTTAATGGGGTACTTATAGGAGTGTAATGGGTCAGGTGGCAGAGTCACCAAAAATCTCCTCCCAGCACGAGCGACAGCTCAGGAGAGCTGTGTCCCTGGTGATATGATCTCGGGGAAGAACCCTGGAATCTTGTAACATTCAGGAGTCTTCTGGGCCTTGTAAACTGCATTTTCTCCCAGGGCATCTGTCCACACTTATTCTCAAATCTTTGAGCTTTCTTCTTCCCTCTAAGTCAGAAGGTTCTTAGCCTTCCTAACGCTGCGTGTGACCCTTATGTTGTGCTGGCCCCAACCATAAAATTATTTTTGTTGCTACTTCATAACTGTAATTTTGCTACTGTTATGAATTGTAAGGTAAACGTCTGTTTTCCATCATCTTAGGTGACCCCCGCAAAAGTGTCTTTCAACCTCCAAAGGGGTTGTAACCCACAGTAACCGTTCCTCTAAGAGGCAGTGTTTCAGTTCAGAGGAAACAGCAGAACAACACCCCAATATTTCTGCCTCTCAGAAGAATTCCTATTCTATTCTATTTGCTTTATTAAAATTAGGTTTTTAGTAGCCCCAGAATATAATTTTCCATTTTCCACAAGACTCAACAACAGAGCTGGAGAGACAGCTCCGCCATGGAGCTGCTCTTGTAGAGGACGGGTTTAGCTCGCAGTGCTCACGCACTGGGCTGTAATCAGTTCCAATTCCAGGACGTCCAGTGTCCTGGCTTCCAAAGACTTCTGTATACACACAATATGCATGCATTTATACAGACATGCACACATGCATAGAACTTTTATTTTGTTTTTTGAGAGAGGGTTTCTCTGTGTTGCCCCGGAACTTACACTGTAGACCAGGTTGGACCCAAACTCAAAGATTTTCTTGCCCCTGTGTTCCAAGTGTTGGGATTAAAGGCCTATGCCACCACTGCCCGGATAATATAACTTTTTAAAAAGTATTGTTTCACAAAGCTTACAAGAGCGAGCCAGGCGATGGTAGCGCACACCTTTAATCCCAGCACTCCCGGAGGCAGAGGCAGGCGGATCTCTGTGAGTTCAAGACCAGCCTGGTCTACAGAGCTAGTTCCAGGACAGGCTCCAAAGCCACAGAGAAACCCTGTCTCGAAAAACCAAAAAAAAAAAAAAAAAAAAAAAAA